GGTACTAATTGATGAGTTTGCAAACAAAAAAAAAAAAAAAAAAAAAATAGGCCAGGCATGACGGGTCCCTGCCGGACCATTCCACCCGATGGCTGCACCATGGCATGTACCCCTTCTTGAGTAGAGTATATTGATACTGCCCGTGGTGCCATGAATTTGACGCTTCAGAAGCGAGCCTCGGTCAAACGAGCTGCGTGCTAGTGTATATTGTGCGCTTTGTTCTGTGTACAAAGTCACTTCATGGAGGAAGAGGTCCCCTTCTCCGCGTTCTGAGGTATATTAGGGATAAGTACTCCGTATGGAGACCGATTCTCCGAACATGTAACTTACACCACCTCCGCAGACCATCATTCCGGGACGACCTGATTCCATGCTCACACAAACCAGGCTTCTTCAATGCAAAAATATCGCCTCTATTCCTAGCATCAAATAACTCCTCATATATCCCTACATTATTAGCATAACCCATCGCGATATGGCAGAATAAATCATGCATCGCTTAAAGCAAGGTTAATATCACGCCCTTAACAGTAGGGGCTTGCTAAGCTATCACGCCCACATGGCTGTGGAAACTGTGCGCTCGCACCAGCGGTCCCGACGAGCTGGGTTTCTCCGAATCGCAAATACCTACTCTGTACGGTGTACAGAATCAACTGATGAGACATTCTAAATGCTCCGAGGTTAGTTGGTTGTGCTGCAATGCACGGGGCATAGACTGTGAGTGTGGACCAAGCTTTCCATCCATGAACCCAACCCAGTTGCCAGGAACTACACCGCCTCGCTCGAGCCTGCTGGGCTAAACAGCTAATTTTAACATGTTAGTTAGCAGAGCGACTCGGTACAATTCGTAGAACTATCACTTATCCATGTGATAGAGGTCGGCGTCCCTGTATGACCTCCTGACTTGACAGTGAAGCTACGCCCAATGTAAGGTACATACTATACACCTTCCAAAGCTTGTGGGGTGCCGAAGAACCAACAGGTTGTTCCGGATAACCGCTCGTTCAGTTCTGACGCGTAGAGACAGGGTTACGGCGCCTGTAAGACTCCGTACCATTTCGTATTTTGATGGCCGCTGCTCGGGGCATGCTCACGGATGCTCACGGCTGTGAGGATCTCATTGTGCTGTAGGTGCTTTCTGCATTTGTCTTTCTTTCATTTCATTTCATATTTTTTAATATCTTGTTATTGACTCCGGGGATAATTTGCGACGGTACCAATTGACACCCATCGGCCGTCATCCGAGCCAATATCGAGGTGTCTGTACTCCGTAGCGTAGGAGCTATTCCTGCTGTGTAGTCTTCAAATCGAAAGAACGCCCCCTTGTACAAAATTGTGTAGCAAGCAATAAACCATGACAATACGAGCGCTTGATTGGTCAAGGTCCGGTCTTATGATCGGCGCTAATATGCCACGTTACCACGACGTTGCCGACTGACACCCGAGTGAAGAATTTGTGACCTTTGTTTCTCTTTCCTCCTGTGCGACTGAACAAAGCGATTGGTGTAAGCTGAAGCCGGCACTAGAGGTTATTCTTGATGCTATGCAATGGATGTATGCTATACAGCGGGTTGGCCACGACGGGCGCGGCTTTGATCGATGATCAGTATCTTCATCTCGAGCAACTATGGACTATTACAAGTAAAGTACATAGTATCTACATGTAATTTGAGAATTGGGCGTCAATACAGTGTTGCTGAGGGGCTTCTTGTGGCAGCGAGACCAGCACTACAGCGAGTTCTGCGCCTTGGCCGGAAGCTACCCGGGTGATGGTTGGTGATATTGCTGAAGGCTGCTGTGGCGGCGCCAGAGAGTTTAGCGCCCGATACAACCTTGAGCAAATTTGTTCCCAAGTCCCACTCGGTACTTCTTGTTGAAACAAAGCCACTCTTGAGGGCTGAAATCGGGGCCGTGGAGCGGCCTCCGAAACTCAGGCTACACTATTCCGCAGTGATAAGGCAATATTCAGTCACAGGTTCGTGGTCGTGATCCTATCATTGTGCTACAACTGTCATTACCGTGACACGAGTTCGAACTCGTCTTTTTGGGTGTTGCCCATTGTGGTCGACCCGTCGCTTTCAGAAGCACAATGGGCTTCATGCCCCTGGATCCTTGAATGCGGTGCCGCAATTTGAATCCCTGTCCTGGCAGTAGCCCAACTTGGAGCTTGACGGAGCCCACTGGAAATGACCAGCATAGAGGTCAAGCTGTATTGTAGCACGCATGTACTCGAGACGCGGACATGCGGTGGGTGTGAATGACAGTTGAGGCTTCATCATCATCAGTGACAACAAACGTGGCTTGCGTTGTTGATGCCGTGTTGTAAACCATGTGCATACGGAGCTGTGCGGTTACCGGGCCATCTTTTGCAACCCTTCACGGGTACTCTGAATCAATGTACGGAGTTCTCCGTAGGGATTTCGTGGAGTTGCTGGAGTGTAGAGGCGTGCAGGAGTATTCCTCCGTCAAGGTTGGAGTGAGGTAACTCTTATTATCCAGGTGCCTTCATCGAACGACTCTAGCAATCTGTGCCTGCGTGATAGCACCGTGCGCGTCATTGCCATAACAGAAGTCAACCCAATCATCCCAGCAAGTGGGTAGCAAAATATGATCTGTAAATGATCCGTTCGCCTCGTTCTCTTGGGTTGGCAGAAACGATCATTCCGGACCTGGCACTGGGAATGTGGTGCCGAATAGAGAGACCCGCGCGATAACCGTCTACCCAGGGGAGGGCAAAAGCTTGCCGAGGAAATCACTCCTGACCTTGGTTAGCAGCTTGAACAAGGATGGCATGGGCAGGACGAAGCACCCTTGCCGGAGGGCTGCTCGGCCCAGTGCTGCCCGTGGGGATGGGTTGGGATGGTCATGTTGGGTGAGGCCTGGGGGATGGCGTGGGGCGTGATGTGATGGATCAGACTTTTTGTAACTCCGTACATAGAACGAGAAAGCTCTGTGCAGGTGGCACTTGCCGAGTTGGTAGCTGGGCGAACTGGGAGACTCGGACTGAGAGAAGTTGCTTTTCTTTTCTTTTCTTTTTTTTTTTTTGTTGCCATTTTCTATTTTCCATATCCCCCTTTTTCCTTTTTTTTTTTCTTTTTTAAGTCGTCACTGTTCAAACAGTCTTCTGAATATCCCATCCTCCGTACTCCGCAGCCTGTCCGACCATTGAACGAACTGCTATAATCCTCCTTTTTGATGACCTTACACACGCGCACAGTTGGATGACTGCGTTTTTTTGGAAGAAATCAGTCTTCTGTGTCTCCCTCACCATTGTATCGTCCCAAATCGAGCAATTCCCATTCAACAAATATTTCAGGAATACTAGAACGTTCGTAGAAAAATCCAGAACTACCTTAAATCTGCTTAAACTTGCGCTCACATACATATTCTGCAGCATGATATAGGCTGGAAGCCGCGTTCCTTGGCCTTGTGAAACTTGTGCTGCGAGGGCTACAGAAATTCTAACACCAGGCGGTCTTGCCATTCTACAGCTTCTATCTTTACGACAGAGGGCCGCAAAAGCAAGGACGAGCTCGGGCATGATATTTACCCCCTTGCCTATCCCACTTTAATGTTTATTTTATCAATTGTTACTTGCGTATGTGGAACAGTTCTGAGGGCTGTCTGTTGAATCATGGCGACTCAAACGGATTGTCATATGGGCAGCATTGTGGCTTTTGAGGGAAAGGCAGACATTGTGTCAACCCAACTTCGTCTTCTTCCCACATCACCGCAACTTCTCATCCTCCCAAGTGTCGATTCATACGTCAAATCCAGGGACCAAGAGGAAGATCAATGCTTTGACACGCGTTCTTTTATTCGGAGAGTTCACGATGCTTTTATGGCGCGGACTGAGGCTGCACGAAACTTCTTAAACGGCGCGACTGCAAACCACAAACGACTGGTTTTCATTAATGGAGGCACCTCAGGAGCACAAGCCCTCTGTGTCAAGGAAATAATGAAGCGTGAAACCCACGGCGACAGATCCGAAGCCGAATCCATGTTCAAAGAAATCACAAAAGATGGCTTAGCGGGTCTGGAAAAGCAGATATCAAGCATGGGTAGGGAGCAACGATATACCTTTGGGCATTCAACAGCTGCTAACGATAAAGAAGAATTAGAAGAGGACCCAATTACAAGAGCTATGAGAGCAGCTGACGCTCTCGACCGCCAGACGGCTAGCCTGCAACCCTGCAACACGTTCGAACTGGGTCGACCAACCCGACCGCGTAGTTCGAGTTTGCCATTGTATGGGTTTTCTGACGAATTTGAGGATTCCACGCCTTTCTACGTGTTTGGCCTCGCAAGAACAGATGAAGATGTTGCCCCCGACGAAAGTACTGACAATCTCAGTGAGCCGCCCACCCCAAGTGTGGTAATCACCAGACCCAGACAATTGTCAGTAGAGACGCCTCGGCTTGGGCCGTCCTTCTCAACCGTCTTCTATTCCGCCAGCTGCATTGGGGAGGCATATGAGTCCATCACTCCGGACTGTCCGCCAGAAGCAGCAGCAGTTTCGCCTACATCCGAAGCCTGTAGTCTTCGCTCATCTGAGAAGGTTGTCTATGGAGAGGCCGCGGTCTTTGACATGAGAAATTCTTGCTCACGAAATTCAATATGCCGTGTAAAATCCCTGGACAGGATTTATAATGCCAGCCCTAAACTCCGAGATCCTTGCATCCCCTCACAATCATGGCTAGCAGAACCAGATACACCTAGAGATTGGCAACACCGCCATTCGATAATTTCGGCTTCAGATGCTCAGGATCGCAGGTTGAGTCTAATAAGCCTTGTTGACAAGCCACGAACTATTATGGTAAAGTCACGTCGGTCCATCGGGAAGATGGAACCAGTTCCGGCTGAAAAAAGGAGAGAGAGAGCTCCGAAGGCACCAGAGAACCCTAGACCAAATTACGTTGACCGAGGCACAGATGCACAAGATACACCCAGAGATGTTTCCTTCCAGCCCATCTTTCCTCCAATTGAAGATCTTGTTGTATACTTCAAGGATGAGTCTTCGGATGTCATGCTAGAATCTGCCGTCAACACGCTGAAGAATAGACGATATCCTCTTCTGTCACATTCTCCAACAATATCAGACGTTGCAAATACGGGGACATCTGCACCTAGCACACCGGTGTATCAGCTTTTCCAAGAGAGAGACCATCTTGAAACCGGCATGAGTGCAAATGAACCTGGCATGGCTTCTCCTGAACCCGAGGATTATGATCCTTTTGCCTACATGCAAACAATGTGGCGACCAGAAAAGCCCGCAGAGCTAGTTGCAGAAGTATCTATCGTTCGACCACCAACACCTGCGCGAACGCCTCCACCAACCACCCTTAAAGATATCGAGCATAAGATCCATGAATTCCAGGTCACCTCAGGCCATACGGCTGTGTCCATACAGAATTCGCTGCGCTCCATCCTTGGCGAGTACTTTCCACCGGATACAAAAGGCTATCACCAGTTCCAGTTTTCTCTCCTCCCAGAATTTGATGAACTCTGGAAACCAATCTTCCGAGGAGGTGACCCAGGCACCTCACAGCGGAACGACGGCACTAGCACAAATATCTTAGCCATTGGCTCCCAAACAGGTGTCAAGAAAGAGTATTCGCTGGCAGTTATTGGCAGATTAGAAAAGATTGGCAGGAAGTCTTGCGAAATTGTCAAGACCGGCAGAGTTGACTTCAGGTACGTGATAATGGGTGTGTCTCTATCTCTAATAGCTTCTTTTGCTCACTGCGCTTTCTTTCGGTTTGATATTTTAGATACTTGCTCGCCAATGCGATGCAAGCTTTTACTGCTCAAAGACTGGCCAACCAAACCTCCGACAATCCATTTACCAACTCGTTCTTGCTGGCCACTCTTATTGTTCCTCATCTCGAAACCTATTTGGCACTGCATACTGATGTGCGGCATCTGCTCCTTATCTACCCACCGGAGCATTTGGCGACTGTTTTGGCATTGCAACGACTTGTTGGAGTTGATGCCATGAAAGTGGCCCAAATTGTCGATGCGGAGAGCAAGGAAGACTCATCATTCACCAATATTCGTGGTGCATCAATCAATAATAACAAGCCTGAAGGCAAGCCCACGCGTTCATTCTCTCCCAGATCTTCGTCCGAAATTGATATATCGAAAGCCAACTATCTTTTAACCTCTACCGCCTCTGAAAAAGACATTGCTACCTTTGTCTCGACAGTATGGAATATAAAGATTGAACCTCCTGTGGCACCAAACTCGGAGCAGTCTACAGACAGACCATCAAAGAAGAAGAGACCCCCGCCGCTCAGTTTACGCAAGGAGCCTCTTCCTTCATTACCCAAGCTTGCTAGTCAAAACCTAGTGTCACCAACGTCCGTCGCTCTGCCACCCGTGCCTCCAGTACCTCTTGAGCCCGCGTCGCCTACAGCGTCGCTACGTGCACCTTCGCTTGCTGAAACACTCAAGACGCTGAAGTCGGCGAAGAGTAAGTTCAGCCAGGGCAGATTGCGGCCGAAAAATAATCAACAGGCTGAAGTTGAGTCCCTGACTGATTGTGACTTCGATGGCGACAGCGATGATGACATGTATGAACGCAGGCTGATGCCAGTCTTCATGCAAAAGCACCCGGTGCGCAAGCCGAACAGCCGTAAAGCGCTCAAGTTTTTGGGACTAGCATAGCTCTGTGAATATAATCACGGGGGAAAAAGGGAGTGTTGACATACTCAGATTTCCGTTTCCAACGTGAGCGATGCTCCTTGGCTCTACTCTTCACGGTGTCTCTTTTTGTCCGTTCCCTCCATTTTTTGTTACACTCTTTTTTTCCTTTCTTATTTTTTTTTGGAGGATGGAGACTGCTTCCCTTTCAAGATGTCAAATTTAGTGAGAAGCGCATGTACATTGGATATGGCTGGGTTGAACGAAGCATAAGGCAGGCGACATTATCTACAGATACATATACATCGAACAGCCGGCAGGCAAGAACTTAAAATTTAGGACTTGCTCGAAGCAATGATATTGGAAAACAATTATCTACTCAGCTTATATTCGTAATCCATCACTAGACGCATACTTTTGCATCGGCTTGCTCCTCCTATGGTCCCATGAACTTCATTTTGCTCCGATGCAAGTACAGAAGCATGGGCAGGACATGCGAGGAGCCGAATCGAGTTGTACCATGCTAGGGCGATTATGTAGACATTGATCAGGTCATGAAATATTCGTTACCTGGGGACAAGCAAGAGAAACAAAACTACAACATTCATCACGACAGGTCAGTGCAAAGATCAAGTTTCCCTGTATTAATGCCCATTCTCGCACACGAGTACAAAAAAAAAGGTGTTGAAAGCTCCCCAGTGCCCCCTAAAGCAACCTTAAAAACAGCACGACAGAATAATAAGCGAAGAAAGAAGAAAAAGAAAGAAGACACGGTGGTTGCGTTTCGCCTGGTAAAATAAAATGGACCCCTGTGTCTACATGTGTTCGTTACAAAGGGGGAAAACGTAGCATGAGCCTCGTAACTCTCCTTATCCTGTTTCCCGGTTCAGCCGTTCCTGTCTCATCTGAATCGGATCGTCTCAATGCATAGCGGAGTGTTTGGTCTTGCGGTCGGTCGTAGAAGTAGAGAGATGGAGCAAAAAATCCAAATGGACATGATTCAGTCTATGCGCAGAAGAGAACAGAAAAAAAAAACGGGAATGGAAAAAAGTCGTAAATGTAGCCTGTCCAGTCATTTCTCTGGCATCGCACTGCTCCTCACGTACTCCGTCGCCGACCCCTGTCTTTGAGTATTACAGCTACTTAGGTATTTAGCAGCAGCTGTTGCTTGAAGCAGAGCCGACGCCCTGGCCCTGGCCAACTTGCACGCTGGGTTTGGTGTTGTTGGCTGTCGTCGTGCCCATGCGCTCTTTGATTTGTCGGGCCATGGTCAAGAATGCTTGCTCGACGTTGCTGGCGTTCTTGGCAGAGGTCTCAAGGAATGGGATGCCTAGGCTGTCGGCAAATTCCTGTTTGCGGGATTAGCAGTGAGATCTTGGCGCATCAACGTCATGCTTTCACGAGCACGTTACATCGATCCCATGTCAGGACTTGGGCCGTTCACACTCATTCACCGCTCGCGAAGCCGAGTTTCAGTACTTACCTTGGCAACAGTGTACTCGACCACCTTTTTATCCGACATATCGCTCTTGTTGCCAACCAGGAGTTTATTCACACCCTCGGTAGCATATCGGTCAATCTCCTGTAGCCACTGCTTGACATTGTTGAAAGAATCCATGTCGGTGACATCGTAGACAACGCAGATACCGTGAGCACCGCGGTAGTAGGAAGAAGTGATGGTTCTGAATCGCTCTTGGCCAGCAGTGTCCCACTGTGTTGATTGCGGTGGTTAGCTTCCCAGCGTGGTGGCGTCATTGAAGAGCCAAATACAGGTAACAACGCACAATTTGGAGCTTGACGGTCTTGCCATCGAGCTCTATCGTTCGGATTTTCTGATACCAGGTTAGTTTGATGCTGATTTGGGGTTGATTTGGAGGGCATATCCGCATACGAAGTCGACACCAATGGTGGAGATGTAGGACTCTGTGTAGGTATCGTCGGCGAATCGAAGCAACAAGCAAGACTTGCCAACACCGGAATCACCGATGAGGAGCAGCTTGAAGAGGTAGTCGTATCTGATTGAGCCAGTTAGAATCCACACAAGCTTTTGACCTGGATTGCAGCCAGGCTGGCCGTGTTCGTTTCGTGAGGTGGCGGCATCGTGTCAGGTAATTTTCTGAAATGTACTCTATCAAAAGGCAGTCAGTCAGTCTCCGGTTCCTCTCAGGAGGTTGGCGCCCAGGAAGAAGGGACTTGGAGGCTCGCGCGTACCACTCAGGGTTCATGGTGGCGGCGTTGAGGGTATTTGGCAGAAAAGCGGTAGGAGTATTGGACAATGTCGGTAGGCGACAGGAGAGGTTGCTGCTGCGATGGGGGGAAACACGGCGGTGATGATGCGAGGAGATCAAAGAAACCAAGGGCTACGTGGGTGGGTGTGAGACGATGGCTGGGTACGTCAGGGACGACGAGCAACCAGCGGGAGGCGGTGGTGGGAGCCAGCTGATCGGTCACGTGTCAGGTGCCTTTGAATGTTGGACCAGCTGTTGGGTGTGCAACCGACTGGCTGGAGCGACTGTGGGTGTGCGAGTGTTGCCAACATTTGAACGTTGGGCGGGACATGCAGCATCCCGAGCCGAATGATTGGGGTGTTAGGGTATCCAAGCGACCCGATGTCAAGTCATGAGGCCCTTGGAGGTTCTAATTTACAGATGCCTGGCCCTCGTCATGATGTGATAACATTGAAGGCGAGGCAGAAGGCCCAATCCATGATTCGGCGTCCCAAGGCGGCTAGCGGAGACATGTGACGACAAGGCTGGTCCTCGAGTTTCTTCTACCGGCCTCGTGAGTCGCCCCAGACGGAGGCCTGACCCTGACCGGCGAGAGCAAGTCTGAATTGCCGTGTACGTACGGAGTACCGAGTATACACACAGACGTGTACAGCTGAGGCGCGACCAGGCACAGCGTCGCATCGGCATCGCGTCACATCAAATCGCCCATCCAGATGCGCACATGTCCAAACATCCAGATGTCCATTCAACGTCGATGCTCCGTCGACAGGTCTGCATTTTGTTGTCATTTGCTGATTGATGGCCGACAGCCACGCCCGACCGCCTCCATCTATCTGGCCCTTGGCGCCCAACACACCACCCGGTATTCTAATTAGATGTTACGCAAAGTTCCCAAGTCCGTACACAGTCCACGGTATTGTCACCAGTGCACCACTATAAACCACTGGGGGTACTAACTGCCATATTCCCCATTGAGCCGCTGCGACCCGCTCATCCGGGTCGGCCCCGCAGTAGCTCTCGGGGTTTCTGGGTTCAAATTGTCTTCAGACAAGTTCTGCTTTGTTGACCTCATAATTCGTAGCTCCGGCCCAAGTGACAACACTCACACACCCATTGCTGCGTACCTTTTTTTCGTTCCATTTTTTTTCTTGATTTTTCTTTTACAACGACCACCTTGCCTTGCGTCACCCAGAAATGACTTGACTCTGACTGTTTTTTTGCCCATCGTCACCGAGACTGCGACCGTTCATCTTCCAAGTCCACCTATCTGCAACCCGCTGACGCAATACTCTCCTCTTCCTCTATCGACAAATCGTGGGACCTCGACACTGACACCGATTAACCCTGGGCGCTGTCAACCTCTTTATACCTGTCAACCCCGCGCATGCGGTCCCTGCCGTCGACGAGCTTGTCTTGACCTCCAATGGCTGCGCCGTTGCGCAATGCAACACGATCTGCCGGTGGCCCACCGGCTCTCCGGACCTTGACTAGTCTGAGCACTTCTTCCTCCCTCGCAACGCCATCGATTCAACCTCCTGCACATCTCACACCCGTCAACTTACCGCCCACGCCGCCATCTCTGATCTCGAACCCGGAGTGCCTCTTGCAAACGCCTTCTGTATCTCAGCAGCCGCTGCCACAAACACACTTTGGCAGGACGACACCAAAGTTGTTGAAGGACGGCAAGGGCGAAGATCCCCAAGATCCGAACAAGGCAAAGCTTGGCAGAAGTAAGCGTCATACCATTCTCTTGATACATACACAAACTTCCTCTCTGGACATTGTAGACAGACCATAATGGGCCAGGGAACCTTTGACGCTGACGCAAACCAGCCTTAAGGATACTCCAAGAACGATTGCCGACGTTGCTACAATCGCCACTGCCTCAGGAAATCCTAGCCCCAAACATCAATCTACAGCTCTTCCCGACAACACACCCCCATCTTCCCACCGTCTCCGGAAAAGTTGCCTACAACGCAGCCCTTTGGACATCGCCAATTGCTTGGAACCGCGTCCCCATAATCGGCAACGTCAAGCTCGAAATCCTCGCAGAACGCATGACATCCGAGCCACTAACATTCCTCCCCCGCCGCGCCGGCGCCATGCCAGAACAGCTCGTGGTCCGCTGGTGCGAGAAGCGACGGTCCAACGGAAAGACGCCGGAACCCGGCGGCATCGCGAGGTCCCTGTGGCGCGGGCGCGGAGTCGACCCCAACAAGGCGTTTACGGGACTATTCATATTCGACTTTGATGCCGAGGGCAGGATACTGACGCATACGATTGAACAGGCGCAGGAAGGTGGGAACTGGGAGAAGGGGATGGGCGCCAAGTTTGTAGGCTTGACAGATTGGCTTCTGGGCGGCATGAGAAATGGCAATGACAACCCGATACCCATGTTTGAGAGGCTGAAGAAGACGACCACATAACATGTCAAAGAGCACCGAGCGGGGGGCTTTTGACCTGGTGGTCCTTCTCTTCATTGGAGGGTGATGCTCAGGGCGGGAGTGTCCGCGATAGAATGGCATTCAGCAGTGGGAGTGGGAAGCGAGTGTGAAGCGCCCTCATTTCATGCCCATGTACATTAGTATTTCTGTTTAATGAGTCTCCACACCATGTATGCTCTGGAATGATGAATTAAATCTAGTAAACCCCATATTCAAGACGGAACATGTGTGAAGCTATGCGAAATCAACCAAAATCAACCAAGAATGTCGTGTTTGCCCTAGGCGGCTATGGGCAAGTCTATCCTCTTGGCAATCCGTCTATTTCCTTCCTGAGCAAGACACTACACCAACTCCCGACATGTTCCAGCTTCATGTCGTCAAGGTTTGGGATCCCCTTCTCTTTCTCAGACACCCACGACCAAGACCCAACCACCCCGACAGGCGGCATTTCACAATATTCTGCCATCCTAGTCGAACCGTGCCGCATAAAGTACGACCAGAACAAAATTTAAAGAAAAACCAACAAAAAGCTAAACGTGTTTACCCGTCAAGGATCCCAAATTATCCCCACAAGTTAAAAAACCATCTCTGCCACTGGATATTCTTCCATGGCCACCTCTTGTTGCAGCAAGAATACATGCCCCTTGCATCCACTTCAAAACACAGCCTCGCCCAAATTCTCGCCCTCAAAGCCCATCGTGGCCAGCTTCTGCAGCCTCTTCTTGTCCCTGGCCTTGTCATGGGCCTTCTTCTCCTCGGCCAGTTTCTTCACGAGCTCCAGTTCGGCAGGCTCGAAATTCGGCGGCGGGTCGTCGTCCTTGTCGAGGTCGATCTCGCCCAGGAGGAGCACGTTTTCACCCCGGATGAGGAAGATGCCGTGGACCACGTCGGCGTAGTAGCCCTCCGGGGCGGAGGGGTCAGTGCCGGGCTTCAGGGCGAATATCCTTTCGGTTGTTGACTGCAGAACCAAGTTTGCTGTTTTGTTTGTGGCGCGTGTTAAAAAAACGTCGTGAAGCATTGGCGCATTCTGTACTGGCAAAAAGCATACCGAACTGATCCCAACTTCTCAATACGCCAATCAATTTCCTCCCGTCGCGTAGGGCGACCATGAGCTTCTCTATGGGCATCGTGTCAGCTCAAAACACCTTCCTCTACATGTAGCCGACCAACGTCCCCGGTAATCGCAAGTAGACGTACTATCCGTTAGGTCAAGAAGTTGAGCAGCTGTCGTGAACATCTGCGGGGGCAATTGAGGGGGACCCTGTGCATGGCCCCGAGCTCCAGGAGGAGGGGCATCGGAGATCGTCAGGTTTTCCATTTCGTTCTTCTACCTCATGTATTCTTGTTCGATGTTGTGTGGCGAGTGGGTTCTACCTGCGAAACAGCAATCCATATATTTATCTGGACTATTTGCGCTTCATGAGAGCATGGTGGAACGTTTCCAACTAAGCAAGGAAAAGGTGTCTCTGAAATAGCAGGTTCACTAGCAGATTCGGGCTTGGAGTTGCGACCCTCCCCGTCCGTCGGTTGTCCTTCATGAAGGTGCTATCGATAAGTGTAGTCACGTGATATAGGCTTTGATTGTTCGAAGGGTCTTGGAACATGCAGGGAAGGCGCGGGGCAGCATGGTTGGGACGCCCATGACAAAAAAAAAAGTCAATGGAGGGGCTGCATGATGCCGGCCACGCTGGATGAATGTGACGGAGTTGTAGGGAATATCATGACGCCGCGACACCGCAAGGGCTCATTTTGTGGAATATTCTGCGGTGAAGCACGCGCTAGTGATTAAGTAATGGTGGCGCCAACTTTCAATCCGTAGATTGCATGATGTCCGCCTCAATGCCTTGCGACGCACATTGCGGGGAGACGAAGAGGCTGAACGCAACGTAAGGCGGCCTGGCGTGCCAGGCAGTCACCGGCATGGAAGCAGAGCGAGCCCGCGTGAGAGACATGCATACTACAGGCGTAAAACTATCCCCAGTTTTACTCTCTATGGTAGTTTTTGTATTTCTCTGAGAGAAGTTGGGCTGAGGTAGTGTAGCTTTGTATCCATTAGCACCTTGCCTATCCGACCCCGTCGGTGTCTTTCAACCAAAGATTTTCGACATGCATTCGATGCGAAAAATTCTGCATGCGCAGCCGATTCTTTTTCTTTCATGCTGTCTCTCCCACTTTCTTCGTGTAAAGTAGTATAAAAGCGGCATGAAGCCATAAAAACAAGACAAGAAAAAGGGAGGAAGTAAAACATATCTATCGTTTCTCCGTCCGCTAACGCCTTAGTATATATGCACGAGATATATTCTCCCATCGATGATGCAGAATTAAAGGAAGAATTGCAATTCGTCTTCATTTGCATTCGGAACTGAGCATAGTGAATCCGAGAATGGTCTCACTCCCATGTGTAGGCCGCAGTACTCTGGCTTGCTCTGAACCTTTTTCCACACTCCGCTGAGACCTGAGACAAGATGCTGCCTCGTCAAGAATGTCTAAGCTCAGAGAAACAGCGTTATGCGTAGATATCTCGGTGGAGAAAATGTCTTGAGTAGGATGCGCCCAAAAGGATTAGCTGTAAAGGGAGGCACAATATGACATCTACAATTGGTTGATAGTAGAGCGCTGAAGCGCTTCCTGCAGCTCAGGCCTTGTTGCCAGGGCATCGAGAGCCTGGGTGTAGGTAAACCACTGACGCTCTCGTTTATGCCTCTCAGGCCAGTCCTCAACCTCGCTGAGGACCGTGGCCTGGAAAAATGAGTATCTTGATCTGTCTTTGGACGACTTGGGAGGACGCTTTTCGTCGATGGTGCCCAGATCATAGTCAATTTGAATAGTAATTCCAGCCTCTTCCCAAGCTTCACGTGTAGCCGCCTCTTGGCAAGACTCGTCGGTCTCCCATCCTCCTTTTGGGAGAACCCATCCTTTGCGCCGCGTCGACTGTACAAGAAGAACGAAGTTTAGGTCGGGACTTAAGGGGACGACTCCTGCGACGAGTCGCTCGCCTTTTGAGTTGTACCCTAGATTGCGGGTGGAAAAAGCGTTAGCAAGCTGTCCTGTTGCACCCGCAAGAGTCACAGGTGACCAAGAACGACAGTGCGTTGTAGGCAGAATAGCAGAAGCATCATGTGCATGGGTCCGGCAACTTTGAAACAGACCACAAGGAGAGGTTCACTTGGATGGCAAGCAGTACTCACTTTGCTTATTTCTTCCGGTTCGAGACTGCATCGACCGACCATCGGACGTCTCTGACCCAGGGCCAGACATGCTAGAGGTTGTCGACTTCGAATGCGTGATGGCTTGCGACACCTCTTGCCACGTCCAAACCAAGTACGTGGTGCTGGCGGAAAGCGCTAAAAAAAAGGTGCTGGCTGAGGCGAAATGCAAATCTCACAGGGGTGATTGAGGCGCTGTGACCCCGTCGTTGAGGCTTGCGTCTTGCAGCAAAAGAAGAGGAATCAAAGTGAACTACCACACATCATGGCCTTGGTTGATCTGGGTGAATGTCGCACAGGGACCGGAGTGAAGAGAAGAGAAGAGAATGAGGAACAGAGGTGTGAACAGATCGCAGTGACTCGAGCTTGGAGGAGGGCAGAAGGCAAATGCCCCAGGCTGCTTCGTTCCCGGGGGGCCGGAAGGAAGTACTAAAGTCACTTGTTGATACTAAAGACTTTATTGGGGCACGGATCCTTGGTGGTCCTTGGTGGTCCTTGGGTGGCCCTGGTGGCCCTGGTGGCCCTGTGGTCACTGGTGGTTCAAGCGGCCGGGTCAACTCTACAAGTCTGGGCTACCCGTGGTGTCCAACTGGGTCAACTGGTCTGTTGCCGAATCTGGCTCGAGTGGGTTGGAGGCGGCGCCCGGTCAGGGCAAAGCTTGGGTACGATCCGATGGTCTGATGGCCGCCTTCTTGTCAAGTGTATGCTAACTTCTTAAGCTTAGGAATGGTTGTGCAGGCGGCTTTTCACCAAGAGTCTGGTCGTCGAGCTTCAGCGAAAGTGGCCAGATCCCGCCGGGAACATTGAAAGCAAAGTACTGCAACGCGGCAGCACAGGAGCACGGGGGGTACGGGCAGCTATCACGGTAACAAGTACCTCAAGTTCCTGGAGACCAACAGGTCCTCGCTTGGCCTGTCGGAAGTCAAGGCTCAGAGCACTAGCAGGCAGTGCGAAGGCCGATCGATAAAGAAGAGGCGGCCTCGGCGCCAGGCCACGCAGCACGGCGCAATTCCCGGCGATTCCACTACTTTCAAGCAGATTTGGGATACTTGGGCCCGTGATCAGTGGACTTGGAGGCTGAAGAACGTCTCCGAAGAATATCCACCTCAACGAGTACCTGAGTACTTAAAGCACTCAAGTACCTAGGTAGGTACCCGGTGCGCCAGGCGCGGTGAAGCCAGGTAATACCTCAAACGCCGTGGAAGGTCGTGGGGATCGTCGTGGTTGAAGTGGTGCCGAGGGGCTTCCGACTTTGTGACGCCGAAACCAAGCAGCGAAATCCGACGCGGGATGTGCGGGACAAGAAAAAAAAACACCAGACACAGTCAATGCCATTCGATAGACTCGAATGTAGCAAAAGAGAAGGGCCAGGTAGTCCCTTCGACCTCCGACGTCATAACAGGGGTGCTTGTAAAGGGTCAAGTCCTATTTTCACGCTTGCCCCGGGCCAACTTCAATGCTCAATGCTTAAGGCTGGGTTGGCAACTGGTCAACTGGCGGGAGCAGAGGAACAAACTGTAGACACGAGGCCTGTTCCACGGCTGACGATTGTACAAGGTCTTTCAGATGTGGGTTCAACCTTGTCTTGAAGGGTTTATACATTCATGTAAAGAAGCGAGCTGCAGCAAGACGAAGAATAACTAACAGCCTCGTGTAGTCAGGCAGGAAGGCAACACCACAGGCGACAGTCAAGGAAAATGCATGACGCTCGGGTCTCGTTGAGCGATGTCTACTTGTAATTGCTTCCTTCTCTTTTATCTAGAGGAAATCTGACAACAGCCCTTGGGGGCCCTCTGATTAATATACTCCAAATTTTTCACCCGGGGCATCGTATCTAATATCCTGGGACACAAGCTGGGGGCGTGAATGTGGTGTGGATGGCAGAGAAAGCTTGGATTGACCATTCACAGCGCCTGCCTCGTGTGCTGCATGTCCTTCCCGTGTATGTGAGGGCGGTGAATGTAGAGCCAATTTCCTTTGGCTTCAAGTCTCCCAGGCAGAGTGCTGTGTGACCAAGATGCGGCATGCGATTGCTTGTAAGTGGCCATTCCCGGATGCTTCGACCGCGTCTGCATGCCCACGCAATCACGCACGAAAGAAGCCGCTCCGTGGAGACTGAGTGGTGAAGCAGGGCCGTGGCGTGCACATGCATGATTGAGGGTGGTAGCGAGATTCACAGCTCTCAAATGCTTCCCTTGAGTTGAGGCTGGAGGAGGCTGGCGAAGCTGGACGGGAAGTGGACGAGGGTCTGAGGCCGTTTCCCCGAGCTGGTACAGCCAAGGGCCGGCGGCTCAGCGCGTTACCCTGGTTAGTGAGCTGCTGGGTCAACAAGACATGCCGCCTTAATCGAGGCGCGAATGCTGGAGGCACAAAGTGAATTGCCTGCTGGTGAAATGGAGGGAGGGTCAAGTGGTTACATAACGACATCATGGAGTGCTGAATGCTGCCAGGCGAGACAACGACTATGCGAGGCAACGGGGATGCAAAGGTCCAGGCATGAATGTTTCAACGGAAAAGGGAAGCATTGAATGGGATCTGCCCTCCAAGTCGCTGACCAACAGCCACGACATGTATTTGAATAAGTTCGGGGCCGGACTAGAGTCAACTACAAAGCAGGCTGGCTTGAATATTGGTCTTGCGGCACAATGCCGACATGGTCTGTGGCACATTTGCTTAAAGATGGCCGTGCAGAGATGTCCCTTTCCATGCGCTTACTTGCAACGATAGCCGCTGGGGGAAAAGAAAAATTAAAATTAAGAAGAAAAAAAAGAAAAAAAAAGAGGCTGCTCCAATTCTTTTCCGTCATGTTTCTGATATTCGGTATGTAGTAATATTCCCAGGTTTTCGTGCCATTGGTCCCAAGTCTGTCAAGCTCATCAGCGTTGGGCCGTGGGCCTTATGGATATGCCGGTTTGTCCCGGCGAGGTGCAGAGGAGCATGCAGAGTTTACAGTGCAGATGTCTGGACATACAGGTGCCCTATTACCCTACCAGGTACATACTAAGTATACTTATCAGTAGTCCGTGGTGCGTCTTGTCAACATTTGGTGTCACTGCTGTCGATGTCGCTACTTGGTAACTTACTTTACTGGGTGTTACATATATGCTAGTAGTTGCCGAGGATACTCGGGCTCTAGATGCATCCTGTGCCTTGGTCCAGCCTTCCAGGTTAATAGACATGAGCATGCTAGTACAAGCATTGAGATCCCGCGGTGGGCCAGACATTGCTTTCTTTTATTTTTCTTTTATATGTTTTTTTTTTCTTTTTCTGCAATGTGCCACATGCATGCAGGCACTCGTAGGCCGTCCTACATATGCCCTCGTTCCCTGTAGGGCTACAAGTTGGAGCACTTGGGGGCTAGAGGCGACTTGCCCCTCCTGCCCGTCCTCCTCTTCACGCCATTGGAGGCAGCTCTCTCTACCTGCATCTTGGTTGACGCCTGACACTACTACTATCTTGACCTTGCTGACCTCATCTGGACATAGTCCTTTCCGTGCTTTAACAAGGCAAATACCTTCATGACCGTATTGATTTTTTGTTCTCGAGCCGCTGACGAGCCACCTCCGCCCCCCACTGGAATCACCGGAGAGCCGTAAGCGACATTTATTCCTTCACATCGAGCTGCCCACCGGTCCGACATCTCATTTTTATCGAGTGGTGTTTTGTACTTGTTGGGTCCCAAGCACCAACGTCCCTCTCGCCCTCGCCCCTCCTTGTCCACGCCATCATCATCACCAATACTTCAGGGCGACAAAAACCTAATCCACTGGGGCACACAGCCGTTTGCCAGCCCAGCGGCCCCCAGCCCCGGATCCTAAAGCCTCAAGTGCTATTTTTGATAGAGCCGAGTGGCAGCCAACCTACCTTGTCAACCCCGTCCACCCTGTCTGACTGCTTTCCTTCCCCGATTCCCTCTTGAAGTTGCCACAAGCGACTTTGGCATGTCTTTGATATTCCGAATTACTTGACCACAACCTCATGCCAGTCACGGGTGATTACACGTGGCTCAATCCTTTACGCATCGGCTTTCCTCTTCAGGAAACACAGCAGCTGCCTGGGTAGGTGTTATTGATTCGGCAAAGAAGCAGTCGGTGAACGCTACCGGACCTTTCAACGGGGGCCCCTTCGGCTTCACAGAATCAGGTATCTGCTCGGCTGGGACGGTGCTTTTGTCCGCCATGGAACCCAGTCCGACAATTGGTACCACGCAGACCCCTGAAGACGCCTCAACCAGCTACGAATATATTTCTCCAATCGGTGAGTTGCTGTCGTCATTTTTCGTTGCCTTTCCCTTCACCAACCCAGTCAATTAAACCCCACGTGCCCCCTCTCCACCTCCCAGTTGGTTGGCCATGCAACAACCTCAGTTCATTATCCTGCTACTCCGTACCGGGCTTGGTATTTGCTGTGATGCCGGCCTGCCACGTTGTACATGGTCCCCATCGATTGCTTTGGGCAACCCTCGAACCTCCGTGGCTATTCAGTTGCCTAGCTGAGTAGGTAGTGTAAAGAGGGCAAGCTATTGCATGTACGTGGCTGCACGATTCGCAGTGTACATTGCGTTATGTAGAACACTCTTTCGCCAACTCTACAGTGGATGCAACAATGAAACATGTCAAGCCGATACAGTTTTAGTCGGCTCCCCTACATGTTCGGTTACCATGGTCTCTTAGCAATTCCCTTCAATATACTTAGAAGCCTAGTCAAAGTCATCCAAAGACTGCAGTGTGCTGACGGATGCTACAGGATATGCAAACTCTTCGAGATGCGGTTACTGCCACAATCAGGGCCAGAGTCAGTCAAAACGTGAATTACCTTGCTCCCTATTTGGTTTATTGCTCCCCTGTTTTCTTACGGCTGCCAAACACATAGATCTCCGCCGTCACTATCTTATGCAGAAAAATGGCACATTTAGGTTTATTGCATGGGTCAGCAAGCACACTGACATTGTAAATCGACTCAGGCTATTCGTATTACGCAAACGCGACATCATTAAGCCCAAAATTCTATCAGACTCTTCTTGACAGGTGCTGGCGTCGATCAGGCAAACTCCTATATCGACCGGACCAGCGGAGGTCGTGTTGCCCCCATTACACAATTCGGCTTGATTCTGGCCAGTTTAAACCTTCAAGAGACCAACGCCAAACTGTGAATCGATTCAACAAATTTGTCTTAGGGGAGTCGTATATCAAGGACGCAGCTCGACTCTACCCAAAGCCCCGGAAAGAGGTTAAAAGGAGGGACAACGAATTCTGCCTTGTTGATCGTATACATGAAGCCGAGTATGGAAAACTGCAAACACCCCCAGAACCTGCGCACAAACTTGTCATCACTCTTGAAGACGACAACTTCACCGACGAGAAATATCAGGTTTACGACAACTATCAACGAGTTGTCCACAAGGACCTCCCCGAAGATAGGACTCCTCGGGCCTTCAAGCGATTCCTCTGTAGTTCTCCCCTACGACGGGAAGTCATGGTGACACCTGATGGACAAAAGCGCAAGTTAGGGTCGTATCATCAGTGTTACAGGCTCGATGGCGTCCTGGTTGCCATTGGAGTATTAGATCTGCTACCTGACTGCGTCAGCTCCGTTTACTTTCTATATCATGAAAGCATTCACAAGCAGACCCCGGGGAAACTAGGTGCAATGCACGAAATCGCCCTAGCGAAAGAAGAAGGGTATCGTTGGTGGTACCCTGGGTTCTACATTCACAATTGCCCGAAGATGAAGTATAAAATCGACTATTCTCCGCAATTCATCCTCGATCCCAGCAGCTTTGGCTGGGACCCATTAGACCAGGCAACCTTGAATCTCCTCGACCAGAAGCCGTTTCTCAGTCTATCCATTGAAAGGCAAGAAGCTTCTATCGTTGACAGTGAGCCCCAAACTGATGAGACTCGAGGCTCCAAAAGGCCAAAGGTTAGCAATCAGGTCGGGCAAGCCACTCCTAGAAATGGCACACGCACAGAGGGTCACGACAACAGGGAGGGGGAAAATAACGATGAAGATGGAGATGAAGACATAGGGTCCCTCTTCCAATCAAGCATGCCCGGAATCACTTGCGCCTCAGATATGGAGGAAGTCGATTTGGATCACATTGCCTTGAAGGTGTTTTCCACCGGACCACTATTCGAGACTTCTGATCTCGTGGCTTGGGACTCCAAAAGCATCACCGATTGGCCTGGGATTAAGGCCTCTGTAGCAGAGTTGATTGCGGCTATTGGGCCAGATGTTAAAGATATGATCTGTTTGGACATGACACGGGAGAGAGCTTAGAAAGATTTATTGAGCAGCCAGTACGGTAGGTTCGTTAGGTAGAAGCTTTGAATTACTTGTCGTGTCTGGACCTACGGTTATGCTCCGAATAATAAGGTTAAGTCTTGGTGCCTTGATATTTCGCGCTCTCTATCCGTCACTTTCTTTTCATCCGCCCCCCTCTCTGCTTCTCTATTTGGCTCAAAACAAAGAGGAAAGAGGAGAGAGGGGAAGAAAAAGAGAGAAATGGAAATTGACACACTTTTTTTTTTTTTTTTTTTTTTTTTCTTTTGGTAGCAATATCGATGCGAAACAAATACCTTGAGCCTGGTGGGTCGCCCTTAGCTTACGAAATTTTTATTTCGACTTCACAGGGAGCCAAGCGCTGAGACTAGCGATATCGAACCGTCCCCACCACCATCGCCGAGCCTATCTTATCAACAAAGCTTAGGCTGCGGCCGAAAGCTTGAGCTTCAAAAAAACTTTCGAGAGAAATGGAAATCGACACACTTTTTTTTTTTTTTTTTTTTTTTTTTTTTTTTTTTTTTTTTTTTTTTTTTTTTTTTTTTTTTTTTTTTTTTTTTTTTTTTTTTTTTTTTTCTTTTGGTAGCAATATCGATGCGAAACAAATACCTTGAGCCTGGTGGGTCGCCCTTAGCTTACGAAATTTTTATTTCGACTTCACAGGGAGCCAAGCGCTGAGACTAGCGATATCGAACCGTCCCCACCACCATCGCCGAGCCTATCTTATCAACAAAGCTTAGGCTGCGGCCGAAAGCTTGAGCTTCAAAAAAACTTTCCATGACAATCGTATTTCACCGGCAGTTCAGCCAGCAATTCAGCCAGCGCCAGCACATCCAACGGCTTGATCCATCTCTCCTGGCTGGTGATCGCTTTGCGGGACCATGGCCACTCAGCAAACTCTTCTTTCTCCTGCCGAACTCGCATATCTGCACAGCTCACTCTCTCTTACCCCACCAATCCGCCCTGATGGTCGTTCTTCAACGCAATTCCGGCCATTGACCGCGGAGACTGGTATTTTACCTGGAACGAACGGCAGTGCTCGTGTATGCTTTTCGGATGGCACAGAAGCCATTGTTGGCGTGAAGGCGGAAATTGAAAAAACCCCTGGCGTACGAGATGCCGAGGACAACGATGGCAAATTGAGTGCCATCGCAAACGCCGCGGCTGATGATACAAGGTCAAGAGCCAGAGGGGATTGGTTGGAAATGACGATTGAGATACCCGGTCAGAGAGACGACGAAGCTTCGACGGTGTTTCTGGCGGAAATGTTGAGAGAGGCGTTGCTAGCAGATGGGGAATTCGCGAAGAAGCTTTGGATTAATAGACGATTTCATTGGAGATTGTATCTTGACGTGAGTATCATAACACCGTCGAACCGCAAGATGCCGTTAACGTGATATTGACCTTTCTTTCTTTTTCTTTTGGGCCACATAGGTTCTACTGATTTCACCGCCTCTCTCATACCCGCTTCCACTTCTGTCTCTGACATCACATCTCGCACTTCTCGCGACACGGTTACCACGACTCAAGTCAGAAGGCGACGAAGACCCTATGTTTGACGACGACTGGGAGTCATCGATCTACTTGTATCCACGTGAGAGAGCTTCCACTGGTTCCCGACCGCCGATTACCTTGTTAGTTATTGGAGTGGGCGATAATATCATTTTCGACCCGTCCAAGGAAGAGCTGGCAGTTGCCGAGACGGCACTGGCTGTATCAGTAGGAGAGATTAGGGAAGAAACGAAGGCCGGGGGGGCGAATGTCGACTCGAGACGAGAGCTAAGACTGTTGTCAATGAGAACCGTCGATCCGCCTTCGAGATTGACTCCTCCCGGTGTGCCTGATTCCGTCAATGTCGCTGCGAATGGAGCACTAGCTGGCTCTACTATGAAGCAACAGGTGGACGGTCACCAAACTCTGCAAGGCGTGTGGAAAGCACCGTTGGGCGGAAGCAAATTCAGTGTGATGAACGGCATTGTAGAAGCAGTGCTTGAAAAGGGTGGTGTTGCCGATGAAATCTTGGATGGGTTGGAGGGTGTGGATTTAACATGAAGGCGATCAGCGGACAAGATGAAAGGATTTGGGCAATGTGCGGCGTATTATTAGTGTGCGCGGTTTATTTACAGTCCTATTTGCATGGCGGCCCAGGCGTTCCGAGTACTTTCAGAGTTATCGTAGGAGGACAGGCCAAAGTAGCATGTGTCCAGTCAATCACCAAATACCAAGCCATTTCTTCCTCTGCTCTGGCTTCCTGTCCGATTCTGATGTTGGGGGCAATTCCCGTCCAAGCGCAACAGCCTCCAGCTCTTCCTCTGATTTTCCTTCGTCCTTTCCAAACACTAGAGAAACGGGGTCCTTGGACTCAATGCCGTGTACCTTCATGTAGTATTTTCTCTTTGCGACATCATCCAGATACCTTGTTCGATGTTCACCAGCCTTTGCGGCCTTGTCCTTTTCGTGCAGGGCGATGACGTTTTTCCACGCTGCAAAAAAGTACGTCGGGTGCTGCCAGAGATCGGACATCGGAGGAACGAGGTCCTTAAAGGGGGAGTTGTAGGCGTAATTCATGAAGAAGGTGTATATGGCCATTGCAAACAAGGCCCCCTGCATGGTGAATTAGTATTGGGTTTTTTTCTCTTGTATTCAACACGCTTCTGCACGAGATCCCGATAGGGATTCATACAGAAGAGAAAGTGACATGGGTCATACCATGGTAATAAAAGTATGAAGCAACCTGCTATGCCAAAACCAATGAGACCAAGATCCCTCAGGGGCCATGACGCCAGGGTAATGCCTCTTGTTCTGGGCAGAAATCTCCGACGCGGTCAGTTCAGGGCCGTAATGCTTGGGCATGGTGTTTCGCTTGAGTCGAGATCCGTGGGACGGGGGGTTGAACTTGGCTGGCTTCTCGAGCACAATTGGCTTTTGGGACTGGAGGTTGCGATGGCCAGTCGATGATGACGATGATGCGTATCTGATGCGAATATTTTGGGAGAGCGGAATGCGGACGCCGCGCCACAAGGGACCTTGTAAAGGTAGCAAGAAGCGCGGTATTATCGTTCTCGAGGTCATTGTAGGGCGGGTTGTGCGAACATGAAACTATCCCGTTGCATCAATACAGCTCAATGTTTGAAGCTTGGGTTTTTTTTTGGGCAGGATTTCCTTAGCACCTGAATGCACCTTGAGTGGTAGCCTTGTACCCTCAGGCACAACTTACCTAGGTACTAGGTACCTTGGTGCATGCTGGTGCAAAGGGGAGAAGGGAGGCGAGGGCACGGGCGCTCTCTCACCACCTGTGAGCCTCGGGCATACAGGGCCAGTTTACGCAAGTTAGTGGGCAGCAGTGGACAAGAGTGGGGGCACTTGGGCACATGAGCAGCCGAATACTGCTCAAGCGTTGTCCGAGTTTACCCGGCGCAGCCGATGTGGCGGGTCCGCTGACTGCGTAATTGCACGGCTCTGATTGGGCTGCGCCGCAGGCCACTGTGGCTCAATCGTGCGGACATCTTGCCAGGAGCCGGTTTTCGAGTGCCTGGCTGATCGGTCCATGCTGTCATAAGTAAACTTTTTTTTTTCATTCGGCGTTCCTGGTCTTTCTTTCTCCTCCCTCCCCATCCTCTACGCCATAATTGTATCGACAGTCCCAAGTCGTCACTGACAATTCTCGGGATTCTTCTTCGCGACCGTTCCTACGAATATACTCTTTTTGTATCTCTTTTCCAAGACCCCTAATTCAAAATGGCTGGTGGTAAGTCTTGCACTCGTGTTGTATCCTGTACAGCCGAAGAGGCCTCGGGCAATCGGTCGAGCCGGTTTGCTTTGCCATTGCGTCAGCGCATGCCAATGAATGCAGATAAAAGTTGTCCGGAATCGGGTGATCGAACCGCAATTGAGCGATTTCCAGTGTCCACGTTGTGCTTTTCGGCACAATGGTGACGTGCGCAATTCCTTTCAGGCGTCGGTTGCTCATGCTTCTTGCGTCATTTTCATTGTGCCGGGAAAAGGTCAAAATGTTGTGAACGCGGAAAAAGATCTCACGCAACGATTCCGATGATGGCAACGCAATCTTCGTCCTGTTCTTCATTGGGTCGGTCTGCTGGTTATGCATTCGGCCACGCCGCTCTGTATCGATTATTGATCTCGGGGCATGTCATCACTGTTTTCTTGGCATCCCGGAAGACAGAACACAACGTTGTCAATGGGGCATATGCTAATAGTTCTTACTTCAGGTGACATTCAGAAGGGTGCCAACCTCTTCAAAACCCGTTGTGCACAGTGCCACACCGTCGAGAAGGACGGCGGCAACAAGATTGGTCCCGCTCTGCACGGTCTTTTCGGTCGCAAGACTGGCTCCGTCGAAGGCTACTCCTACACCGATGCCAACAAGCAGAAGGGCATCACCTGGGACGACGACACCCTCTTCGCTTATCTTGAAAACCCCAAGAAGTACATTCCCGGCACCAAGATGGCTTTCGGTGGTCTCAAGAAGGAGAAGGACAGGAAGGATCTGATTGCGTAAGTGCACACTGGCATACACCCAAGAGATTTCTCGCCACCTGCTGACAAGTCAACTAGCTACCTGAAGGATTCTACTGCTTAAGTGCCTTGCACGTGTATTAATACGACATGATAGACGGGGACAGGATGAGTGTATTATAGACAAAATTTAGAATAGCCGGGGCACTACCAGGATGTGCTTGTTATTCAACTCCGCTTTGATGAGCGATTGTTTCTGCTGGCATTGGCTCTGACTTTGTGACAATACAAGTGAGTGTTGCAGTTTGCGAAAGACTGGTATCACATTCTTGGGCATGCACGCTCTCTAGCTTTCATTTCTCGCATATAACCATGAGCTGCCGAGACGAGCAACCATTAGGCCAGGGTCACTGGCCACTTCCATGTGCTGTGTAACCTGATCTTACATCGCTCACTTTTAGCTTGAATACAACCACACATGCATGATAAGGACGTTTGCATACGTAGCCATTGTTGGTAGAATGCAGTCAGTCTATTACCCTCTACCATAGTCAGGTACCCACGCCCTCAGATAATCATATCCCGCTCTCTATACGATGCCGGATCCCGCACACTTGCCCTCGTATTCGCCAACGCAAACTCCCAATCCGCCTCAATCATCTCCTTACTCGACGTCTCGTCCTGCATCCACCTTTCCAAAGCACTCTCCGCAGCTTTTGCATGCAAACCGCTGAGGTCTGCGCCGCTGAAATTTGTACAGCGTGGATCCTGGGCCACGGACGAGAGACTTTCCATTGCAACGGGGGACGGGTTCTCATGGCAAGTCCGATAGATGGCTCGGAGGATATCCACGCGCTCTGAAGGGGTGGGGAGGTCAATAAAAAGCTGGACGCCCAGACGACCTGGACGCAGAATAGCCTCGTCAATCATTTCAGGACGGTTCGTGGTGCCAATCACGTAGACGCCCGTTCGGTCTTGTGCGCCGTCGAGTTCGGTAAGGAGGGCGTTTACCACACGAGCGCCAGAGTCGGTGGAGGAGTTGGCGCGCGGGGGCACGATGGAGTCGATCTCGTCGAAGAAGAGGATGCAAGGGGTTGAGGAGCGCGCTCGCTGGAAGAGTTCCCGGACTGCGCGCTCGGATTCTCCGACGTATTTGTTGAGGAGTTCGGGCCCGTTGATGAGGATGAAGCTTGCCTTGGCTTCGTTGGCGATGGCTTGGGCGACGAGGGTTTTGCCGCAGCCGGGAGGGCCCCAGAGGAGAATGCCGGCGGTTTGCTTGAGGCCGAACTCTTTGTAGACCTGGGGCCGTTTTATGGGGCCGATGATGGACATGTGTAGCTGTTTACGGGCCTTGTCGAGAGCTCCCACTTGGTCCCAGGTGACGTTGGGGATGACGGTGAAGCCTTCTTTTCGCAGGGAGGGGGTGAAGTCCTTGATGACGGATTTGAAGTCTTGCATGGATACGGGTGCTCGTGGCCGTATACGGGGGCGCATGGCGGAAAAGAAGTCTCGGTTCCCGGAGAGGATGGCAGACTTCATCTCCGACATGCAGACGTCGGTGGCCTCGGCATCCTCGCTGATGCATTTCGCGGCTAGTTCAGTGGCCAACTTGGTGATGAGGACGAGCTCGGCTGCCACGAAGCCGTGCGTTATCCTAGCAATCTCACCCAGGTCGACGTCTTCCGCAAGCGTCTTCTTTTTGGTTACCGTCTGCAAAATGTCCCGTCTCGCTTCATAGTCTGGAATCTTCAGCTGTTTGGTCACTTCGAACAAGCCGGTTTTTAATATCCCCTGGTCAACATCTGCGATTTTTGACGTGGTGGCCATGGCGAGGACGTACCCGTCTTCTCCTCGCCGGTGTTTTAATCGTTGCATCTGCTGTGTGAAGAGGCGAATGGCCTTGAAGTGGTGTTCATTGTGGTTGCCTGAGCCAGTCTTGGACATGTACTGGTCGATCTCGCCGATGAAGACGATACTAGGGGCCTGTGCTATTGCGGCGTCAAAGGCTTCAGTCATGCTCTTTTCCATTCTTTCGGGGTCTTCGAGGCAGCCATTGAGGGAGACTAGAGGTACGCCGAGCATTGAGGCCACATTCTTCACCAATGACCTCTTTCCCATGCCACAAGGACCAGATAGGAGGATGCCGGTTGTTCGGTCCCATCCATTTTCTTCGTAGTAGTTTGCAAATCGCAAGAGCCTGCAGCCATGCTCAAGGAGGTCGCCATACACCTCTCCGAGACCGCCCAGCGGTACCTCCTCATCGACATGCTCGACCGTGAAACGGCTTGCCTTTTGGGTTTTCCTCGTCTGCTGCTTGTCCTGCTTCAGTAGAGATGAGGGACCTTCAGATACGTTGCCATTAACCACTGTTTCAACGGCACTGGTTTGACCGGGTATGTCCTCGGTGTCCGCTTGGATTCGGCGTTTTTTTGCCGGTGAAGGTTCTGTCGATACGGCCTTGTTGTCAGACGGATCTTGATGCCAAAGTTTTGTCATTTGCCGATTCAACAGAAATCTCTCATCTTCCGGCTTCTCTGGTTCAGCCTCTTCTATGGCAGCCTCGGAGTCGCTAGAATCATCAGCCTCTTGCTTTCTGACCAAGAGCACACGATCTATTGCGTCCTCTAGAATCCTCTTCTTCTGTCTCCTAAGGCTTGAATTGGACCGTTGGATTGCATCGTATGCCGTGGTGATTGTTTTGAACGGGCTGCAACCATTTGCTGTTTCCAGTTGCTTTAACACAGTGTACACATCTCGTTCTATCCGTGAACGAAGATTTGCTCGCGATTTTACCATGCCAGGGGGCATATTTCGTGAGCGCAAAGTGGCCAGAGATATTGATGAACTCAGATGTACAGCATCGGGGGGCAGCAGAGGATGTGCCGATGAAATGTTCGCGGGCCAGTGGAGGCAAGCGCCGTGTTTGAGAGTTTTTGGAATATAAACCCGTTCTCAAAATGAGATACCGCTCAATACAGGTGACAGACAAAAGAGAGCCGTCGTCAAGCGTGAAAAAGGAAAGAAAAAAAAATTCTGCGAGTCGTTCAAGTGAAGGGTTAAACGTTCGTCATTTCAGGTGCTGTATATGTTTGACAAGGAAAGCGCTTCTGGTATTTAACTTGGTTTCAATAGTCGTTTCAGATAACTCTGCCATCAGTAGCACTCCCTGCCCGGCTATTTGGTTAGGATTGCATGCGATATATGGCTGTTGTCCCGGGATGATGCTCTCTCGGAATCTCAAATCCACGTGATGGACAGTGCCCCAGACCTGTCTTTTTTTTTAAGCATGTCAAAGTCCGATGCGGCTTATCGATAGCGCTTGAGCCCCTCCAGACCTATGACGATCCAGCAGCGAGCCGCATGGGCATGCGACACCATACGCTTCAACTACACTTCTTCACCAAGTGTTCGATAGACCTTTCACTCAACGGCTGGATCCGGGAGAAGTGTGCACATCATGGGTGGCAACACCAGCAGAGTTACGGCCCAGGACAAGTATGTTTCCGTCCTCTCCCCCTTCGTTGCGCACCGCATCACATTGACGCCACCCGCTCATTAACCATCTCGTGCTCGATACAGGGCCATCCTGGACATGAAGAACCAGCGCGACAAATTACACCAGTACCAGCGACGAATCACCGTCCTCACCGACAAAGAGACGGATATCGCAAAGCAAATGCTCGCCAAGGGCGACAAGAAGAGAGCCCTGCTGGCGCTGCGGCGCAAGAAGTACCAGGAGTCGCTGCTGGCCAAGACGGACGCCCAACTCGAACAATTGGAGAAGTTGACTTCAAACGTCGAATTCGCGCTAATACAAAAGGATGTCGTGTTTGGGCTGCAACAGGGTACCAAGGTCCTGAAAGAGATTCACGCCGAGATGGGGGGGTTGGAGAATGTAGAGAAACTCATGGGCGAAACCGCGGATGCAATTGCTTATCAGCAGGTATGTATGCCCTTTTGTGGGGATATTTCCCTTCTCTTCTCCTTTTTACTCTGGGTTTGGATTGTGGTGACTCACGGCTACTGTGACAAACAGGAAGTCAGCGACATGCTGGGTGGCCAGATATCGAATCAAGACGAGGAGGAAGTAGAGGATGAGCTGGCTGCGCTGCAAGGAGAGCTCGCTGGCGAGGGACAACAGCTTCCGTCTGTTCCAAATGTCCAGGTTCCAATATCTGAGAGGCCGGAGGAGGAAGAACCTGCGCGAGAGGCACGGCAAATGTTGGCCGCCTAGCCAGCTTAGCTTCAAATACTGGGCCGTCATGTTTGTCGTTGCAATTTTATAGACGGGGGCTTTGGTGCATTTACAGCGAGAAATCATACACGGAGTTGAGGAGTACTTTTTTTCCCCAATAGCATTGATTATACAAAGCATTTTTGAATATATTCATTATTGTGCCTGATTAGGGGTGCCGTTTTTATTTTGTGTCTAATTGCCGTATTTCGCAATTAGCTTCCTCATCAGGGACATGGCTCCTACGCGATAGCCGCCACCGAATATGGCAAAGTGATTCAAGTGGTGATATCTGCAATTGTCAGTCTGCAAGCAATATCATTTCCCAACGCAAGAACGCGAGGGCAGGGGGTAGAGAACCCAGGCAGCGTATGTCGACTTACAACTCATAAAGCGCCACTCTGTCTTCCCACTCGTGTTTTGGCTCTGCCTTTGGGACCAGACTTTCGTATTCCTTCCAAAAACTGGCCCCAAACCCTCCAAACATGTTCATTATACCCAGCTCATACTCGGAATGGCCATATACAGCAGACGGGTCGAAGACGACTTCTTCTGCGCCGCCCTTGCCACCAATCCGCCCCTTGGAGTGATTTCCACTCCACAAATCGCCATGTATAACCACCGGTGTTATGTCCTTCATGGTGGACTCACCTATTAACCGAGGGACGACTTTGCTGGCCACCGTTTCAACAGCTTTACTCAACTCGGCATCGCTGCCGTTGTTCCTGACGCAGTCTTTGAGAATGCTACGAAGTCGATTGTCGGCGTAGAACTCGGCCCAAGATGATTTCCACGAATTGTCTTGGGCGGTTTCGCCGCAGCACGTTGAGACGGGGAATCCAAACATGGGTTTGTCGTGGCCATCCGGGATGGGAGCTGGTGTTGTATGCAGTTTGGCGAGTTTGGCTGCCAGAGATTGTCCTGACCCCCCTGGGGCTGTAGACCCCAAGTCGAGAAAGTCGGTGACGAGGAAGTACTTGTTCGAGGTGGACATGGCTCCATGGGCATAAGATTTGGGGCAAAGGCTGGGAACGGCACTCTGGATGGCATTTAGGGATGCATGCTCGCCTGCATATCACAGAGTCAGTGGCGTTTGATCTCCCGGAGGACCAAGGTCTCGGTGCGTAGACCATAAGATCGTACCCTTGAACATGAGCTCCGCGGCCCTGCCAGTACCAGTCTTTACGAAGTAGTTGATGGACTGGCCGTCGATTGTGATGGATAGTTTGAAGGTGGCTGAGAAGCCGGATGAGCCATGGGAGGCAATCTCGGCATGTTGGCCGTCTACGCCGAGGGCTTTTAGAATCGCAGGATCGACATTTGGGGCCATGGTTATCGTGTGTGAAGCTTGAGGGAAGCCTGGAGCCGTCGGTAATGGCGTTGGGCATACATCAGATTACCGTCCCTGGATGTGGAGAGTACAACTGTAATGCGCATGATGGCGGGGTGACGTCAAATGGATGGATGGCGGCGTGAGAATGGAGTTCACGCACCCAGCCATGATTGTCCACGGTCAACCCCGAGCATGGGCGCAGGGCACAACTTCTTAGAGATGCTAATGTAGAGATTCCATAATGATATATTAATAATATATTTTAATATCGCGTACCGTAAAAAAAATTTTGCAACGCTTTGTTCGCCCGTGATGCCTTTGGTCACCGAGCATTTCGACACTGTGGTGTAAATCGCCCGGCACGACGACCCGAGTACCAGGCGCAAAAGACGAAGGAGAAGAAAAGTACTCTGGTTCGATGTCCGGATGTCGTCTTCCCTTGTCTGGCAAGTGCTCGATGATTGTATATGTAAGGTGAACTCCTCCCCTCCCGACGCCTTGTGTCCCCTAAAAGTGGTATATTCGTATCCAGATCCAATTCATCAAATCAATGCTTATAATTATCTCCGTGTGTCCGGTGATCGGGCCACGCTGATAAAAGTATTGGCCTAGTTCTTGGAGACCAGTTCTACATGTGTCGTCGTTGCATTGGTGTCTCGGCTGCTCACTGAGACAGTATCCGGTTCCCGCCCAGGTCGTGACAGTGAATCAGTAGAACTAGACGACAGATTTGAGGAAGTTGTATCTCTTCGTGGCCCCATTTCGGGCTTCTGGGCAAGGATATTGTAGCAGTTGGCGCAGGGACAAACTGGGTTCGTGTTCAGAGGTGGTGGAGGAGCCATGTGGCGGGCGAACCAACTCTGCTTCTTGGAAGGCATGTTGAGAGTGCAATGTTTCGAAAGGTTAAAGGAAATGTGTAGCAAGTTCAAAATGAGGACTCGTGTGTTCGGCTGCTGTTTATGGCTTCCCCCTCTGGCCCATGTCTGTCCGAGGAGGGAAGAGTTGCGTATTTATATTCTTCGCAGCAGCCACCAGTAACCACCACTACCTCCTCCAAGAGCGCTTCCATGCCAAGCCTTTGTCTAAGTATCCCTGAATCGAGGCGTTACACATGATATACACAATAAGTCGCACCGAGTCTACTCCTGCGGTGGGGCAGCCATCTGTGCCGTATCCATGTGCTATTAACTTGTGTCAGCTGGGAATAAGCCCGATTTGTCCGTTCGCACCTCTATCAGCGGGTAGCTCCACTAAATCTTGTTAAATCGTTTGACCCCTTGCGAGGCTGACTGATCCAAGGTTTCGATTTTTGCAAACCACCCTATGGTGATAGCCGAACATTGCCGAAAAGCCCTGTCAATTTTTGTTCTGGTGTACAGCTAGAACTCCAGGTTGGTCTGTTGACGTTTGAGAGGGCCCTTTTTGCTATAATGTATCAAGCTTGCGTCATGTTGAATCGTATGTTGGTTGTCAATATCCGGGCTTGCAATCCGAACAAGATTTGGCTGTGTGAGTTGACGAACATCCATTTCCCCCCTTAGGTCTAGTGTTCAGTTCGAGTTTTCTCGGCAAGCCTGGCCATGACATGACACAGTTACTATCGAACGGTGCCAAATCTTTTTAGTCTTGCATGTTGCCAAAGGCCACTAGTACTACTAGGGAGTGTTCAACGGGTGGTGGCGTCCCGCATCAACGACTTGCTTACATATGAAACTAAAGAGGGAAAAGATGGCTCCTTGGGTTCCACTCGGTGCACATTCGGCCTTCGCAATTCTTCCAAACCCTCGGACTCGGAGCCTTTTGCATTCGGTCTTGGTCTCCGAAGCCCCGAAACTGCTATTGCTTAACATGGAATGACTCTTCTATCCCAGATCGCAATTTTCAACTTGTTTCGTACGGTGCACATCAGCCCGTTCGGCTTTGACGTGTCGTCCAAGCACACACTTGACGCCTCGTGTTCCAAAATCCCACAAATCCCTGGCTGGGGAAGCCTCATGCAAGCCTCCCGTGTCTCCTCTCTCTCGCCGCAACAGCCAGCCACACCACATGCCGATTTGTACTGGTCCCACTTTATTTGCAGTACCTAGCAGGCACTTTTTTGGTAACAGGGTCACAGCCTCAAAAGGCGGGCGGGGCGCTCACTCGTGTTGGGGCTATGATAAGTGTGATGTAGCTTTTTGTAAATACGGCAGTTACGGGTACTTATATGATCATGTTAACTCTTTATAAGCTTATGTATCTTTTATATTTCAAGTTTTCATTGGTTGACATCCTTGTTCGGCACCTTCGAGCACTCAAAGGGATACACCGTAGCAGTGAATACCAGCGTTGAATGGCTCATCCGGTCCTGCCGGGCATCAAAAGTGGACATCTGGATGGTCAGGGCCGCATGGTGCGCCACACATGACGGATCCTGGTCGCCGCCGCGCCTGGTCACTATTATCAACACAACACAACACCAGACGCCTTTGAATGAACGGACGGCCCTTCCGTCCGAATCGGCAGTAACCGAGTGGTGCCGATAGCGTTGCATTTGATGACAGGCGTGTGCAGGCAAAGCACCTGTCTCAGCTGATACATGCTGTGGTATACATCTGTACCTTGACGGACTGTAGCAGGTCCTGAATTGCCCCTTTCGTTGATTTCCATATATCTTGCGCTTCGTGCTTCCACTCTTATCTCCGCGGACAGTGCTGAAGAGATTGTGGATTTTGTCACAAGCTCAATTCCGAGCCTTTCGGGAAACAACAGGCTTTTGCAGATATCTCAAGAAGTAATACGGTCGAACCGGGGGGAAGTACATAATACGGCTGCAGTTACTGGAGGCATGGTTTCCCAGGAGATGATTAAACTCATCACAAAGCAATATGTTCCCGTCGATAATACCTGCATTTTTGATGGCATAGAAAGTCGCTGTCAAGTGTTGCGTTTAAACCTCAGTGAGCATTATTTTCAGTAATAATAGTCAGCTTCACTGGGCCATTTCAAAGCACGCTTGTACCAGTCCACTTCACCATAGCATAAGCGTGCCTAAAACGCCGTAGGATTTACGGTGAAGTCAATTGTGTGAGATTATAAGAGGGACTAGAAGTTAGGTAGCTAAGGTAGGGGTAGTTATATTATAATAATTAAAGCTTATTCTATTTTCTAGTTATATAAGATATAAGGGATATAATCTTAAAGCCTTTATTTCATATAATATTATTAATCGCGTTATAAGTAAGCGAGGTTTCTTAACTACCTTATAACTATTTCCCTTTACTTTAACTAAGCGCTAAATAGCTTTAATAGTTACTTACTAGCAGAGCTCTTACGAATATAGTAAA